GTGTCTTGCAGCGAGAGATTGACAAGAGTCCATCTAAACGATGCCATTGAATTTTGGAACGCTATTAATGGGATGCCTTTATTGAACAACTGGCACACAAGGTTCACGCCGGATACGGTTTCCCATAGTTGCTTTGACTTTGGTAAAGATTCTTATAAATCAACCACCGCCTATAACCCAATCACAAGAAAAAGTTTTAAGGCTCATGAATTCTAGAACACAACATTAAGCACAAATCTCAATAATGGCTACCTAAGAGATTAACTATATTCCTATGTTAACACCACAAAGGCTCTTCTACCACAGTTCTAATTATTAACCCGATCTTCCGATTTATGCGATTAACAATAACATAAAAGCACATAAGTTGATCAAGTTCATGCACTTAATAAAACAAGTAGAAGAAATAATCCGGAATTAAAACTTGCATAAAATCATAGAATTAGGTTCATAAATCCCACATAGGGTTCCAAATAAAATCCTAGAAACTAAAGACGTAGCTACTCGTGATTCTTATGATAAAGAAAATAAAATAAATAAAATTAAATAAGAAAAACTATGCTTGAGTCTTCGTTGATCTTCGTTCCTCGCGTTTTGTGGTGTAAAATTCCGTGCTTATGGTGTCGAGACTTGTTGCTTTTATAGCCTTTTCTTGATAAGGAAGTAGTGGAAACCTAATAGGAATCAATTTCCGCCACTTTCACCCATAAGTATTTGTTCTTCGATTTTTGCCATGTTGGAGTCCGAATTTTGGAATGTTGCGTAAATAAGAATTGTAGCCCTTGAAATTAGCTTTCTAATGCCGCCAAAATCAGCTGATTTGGAGTTTGTATGAGAGAGATATGCTTGAAATGGTGGACACTGCCAAAGCTGTGGCGAGATTCCTTCTTCCAGTTTGATTTATTTCCTTATTTGCAACTTTTTCCTTTCTTTTTGATATTCTTTCCTTTATGGACACATAATTCTCGTTTTCACCTATAAAACACAAAATCAATCAATTAAAGCACAAATATAATTAAATCTAAACAAAAGATCCACGTAAAGTAAACGTATTGAGCGTAAAATCTACACTCAACAGTGATCAAGTTCATGCACTTAATAAAACAAGTAGAATAAATAATTCGGAATTAAAACTTGCATAAAATCATAAAAAAGGGTTCATAAATCCCACATAGGGTTCAAAATAAAAACCTAGAAATAAGAAAATTAGCTACTCATGATTAAAGGAAAAACACAAATAAAATAAGTCATAAACGATAAATCTATGCTTAGAGTCTTCGAAATCTTCGTCTTCGTTATTGCTTTGTTGCTCTTGAAATTGCGTAAAAAGATTCCCAATTGTGTGCTTGGCTTGGTCTTATATAGGGTGGAAAATTTGGAGTAGAATGTAGTTTCCTTGTGCAATTATGATTCATTTACTGCGCATTTTCGAAATCTCGGACGGCCGTCCCGAATTTTGTACTAAAACTCGGACGGCCGTCCCAAAACCGGAGGCTGCTTCTGCCTATCAGACAGCCGTCCCATGCTATATTTCTTCAGATTTTTGATTTATTCACCTTTGGCCCATATTTTCTCCAAAATTGCAGTTTTTACCCCATACTTTTCCAATTCTTCAATTTGTACCTAAAATACAATAAATCAACTTTTTAAGCACCAATTATCGTTAAAACACACCAAAAGCTCCAATTAAAAGGTACCATAAAGTGTAAAAATATACACTTAACAATATGTTAGAAGTTTGGTTAAGAAAAAAATATGTTAGAAGTCACTCAAATCAAACTTAATTAGAGGTGGGATCCAAAATTACAAATAGAAAAAAAATATGATGAAACAAATATGTTAGAAATCACTCAAACCAAACTTAATTTTTTAAACACATCCTTATTTTAAAAACAAAAAAAACATGGCTTATACCCTTATCTTTTATTTATTTTTAATTTGCCCTTATACCCTAAATTCGTAAACTTTATACTCACGTTTCTCCCTCAGATATATTTATTTTATTTATACTTTTTATTTCTCTCTTTCTTTTACTTTTAATGAAAAGCACTAAATGTGATTTTCAACATGCAATCAATTGGTTGTATATGAATTCCACTTCCCGATCGTTGTCCATTCTTATTTTGCAACTTTTATATTTATTTACCTTTTATTTATTTACTTTGCTTTTGTTTTTTAGTATTTTAAAAACAATATTAGCAAAAGAAGAACTATTCACCATTAGTGAAAGATTACAACATAGAATCAAATAGTTTCTTCCTTTTGGAAAGTGGGTACTAATTATTTGATCCTTTAGGTCCTTTTTCAATATATTCCAATTATGAACACATAATATGCTAATGCTTACTCTTTTTCTGCACTGTGTTCTTTTATATATAATATATGTAATATTAAAAAGAGAATATTATATATATTGTCATATTTTTCATATATTCCGAAGCTGATTAGGAATATATGGGAAAAAAAAAAAGAATAATTTGATATCGGTCAATTTGCTCTCCAACAACTAAGGGATGCCCATATCTTTTGTGTCGGCTTGAGGTTTTTGACAATTATTTAACATAATATGACATTATTATGTGAAAATTAATCTTTTTTAAGTTTTATAACTTTTGAGATATGAAAAAATCCTTAAAAAAAATTGAAAATCATATTAATTTTTTTTTTAATTTTACACTTAGAAGTAAGGGTATGCAAAGGTTTATTTAAAAGCAGAAGTTAGTGATTGTGAGTTAAATGGGTATTAAATACTTATTAGTAAATGTTTGGGGTGTTTGTAAATATGCTGGAAAATGAACTTAAATAGAGAAAACAAGTTTAGATGTGCTTTTTAAAAAAATAACTTATTTTTAGAGAAGTAAAAGCCGCTTAATCCCATTTTACACCTTTGAAATAATTTAATAGCACTTTAACACCATCGAAACACAATAAATCATGAACAATGCAACCCGAATGAATTTTTAAACTAATGAAGGTAATTTAATATTTTAGCAGTTTTTTTTTTAGGATTCAAATTGTCAAATCCAAAATTTTATATTATTTATCAATTCTTCAAGCGAATCTTGAAAATGTAAAGGGCAACAAAATAAATAAATAAAATCATTAAGGTATTTCATTGCCAAGTTATTTCAAAAATTATATCTTTTTACAAAGTTTACTTTCAAATATTTTCACCATATAAAAGAACCACCCAATCGAATAACTTAATGATAAGTTTATGATCTTTTTTTTTTTTGAAAAAATATTTTTTGTAAGTAATTTCATTGTGAATTTTCTTTCTGCACTTTGTACGGCTGAAACTAGGTTGGATGGTAGAAGAAAATAAGAATTTAATTTATTCTCTTGTACACTGGAAAAGAAAACCAATAAAAAAAAATTTCCCTCGTTAAGTTTTAAGAATCAATTTCGGATGCATTGCGAATGATTTATTATATTTTAAGGGTGTAAATTGCAATTAATTTTTTCGAGAGTGCAAAGTGTCAAAATGCTACACTTCCAAGGTGCAAAATATATTAAATCACACAAAAACAAAAGTTAATTTTACAAACACCTACAACAGATTATGAAAAAAAAATCAGAAAGTGTTTCTAAAAGCTTTTGGAAACACCACCTTATAAATTACATATTCCAATTATTAATCGTAATTCCAAATGTATATAATGCGACGCCGTCACATACACCAAAGTTTTCCTCTCAGCATATGTTTAAACCAATGAATGGAGATTCGATATCATGAATAAAATAAGAAAAGTGAATCATTTAAGGAAAGTTAGTGATTATAATTGTTAATTAAAAAATTAATTAAAATGTCACTAACCACCATTAGTGCTTAGCCACGTAAATATATATATACATAGCCTGTAAGATTGGAATAATGTACATCACACGATGAAAGTCAATCAAGTATTAGCAATTCAATAATCATTTGTTAAGAGAGATAGTGATATTGGCTATTCATTATTACAATTAATAATTAAGATAATTAAACAATTAAAAATTAAATGCATGGTATTTGTCAACACCTTTCTTGTGTTGTGGGGTGATACATACAACAATACATACAGTGATACAGAGTGTTGTAATTTGAACACTTCTAACATATAAAACTTGTATGTATTGCTCACTTGTGCTGGACTCTACTCAGGAGAATAAGTAATTGTTGCAAAATAAATAAAAGTTGCTTTGACTTTACATTTTGATTTTTTAAAATTCAGTGACCAAGTCCACAATAACAATATATCTGCGAAAATTTTAATTTTACATTGTAGGGTTAATTACGGCGGCATATGAGATAAAGTCAAATTACGAAAAAAAATTTTTATAGTTGGGTAATTACAACTACCCCTCTCAACTATGATTTTTTTTACATGTCCATCCTTGTGGTGTCAAATTTAGTGGAATATTCTAGATTATGTGGAATATTCTCCAGTTTGTACCCGTTTTACCCCATTCGAGCTCTCTACATTTTGAAACCAGTTGATCATAAGATGTGTCTCTTGACTCGTAAATAGTGGTGCATCTGAAACTACATTTTTGCATAAAACAAGTACAAATTAAATAACATTCCACAACATTTAGAAGATTCTGTTGAATTTAACACAATAAGGGTGGACGTGTAAGAAGATTCATAGTTGAGAAGGATAATTGTAATTACCCAAACATGAGGGAATTTTTTGAAATTTGAACCTTACTTCAAGGGTGGGTGTAATCTATCCAACATTGTAATAGTAAGATTTTTTATTTATCCGGAAGTGAATGTAAATTTACATACAAGACCGATATATTTCGAAATACCTATTTAAAGTGTTGGTAATTTATCCAACATTGTAATAGTAAGCTTTATTATTTATTCGGAAGCAAATGTAATTTTACGAACAAGACCGATAGTAATTTATCCTAGTATAGAAGTTTATTGTTTGTTAATGAGAATCCTAAAATTAATTGCTGCAAAATAAAAGATGCCTATCTTCCTGCACCATTATCATCTGCCAGAAAAAAAATAAAGTAAAAAAGAAGTTTAACAGGAAGTAATGTTCACATTACTATCATACATCTTTCTCATGAAATCTGATACAAACTGGAGTTTCACAAATCTGTTAAGTCGATTAAAAACGTGCAAAACAGAAAGAAAAAAAAATCGATCGGAAGTAAGTTTAGCGAAAAATATCCCAGAGACGTTCAAACGTGTTTTTACGAGGAACAAAACGATGAAGGAACATTTGAGACTTGAAGCCTCGATATTCATTTGCACCTCCGAAACATTTCAAAAGCATTTACCATCCGCCAACATCATTTTATAATATATAACAAAGCTATATATAATAAACCACATTATTGTAAATTAAAAATTAGCCGAGCTTCGACTCGAACAATTTTGAGATTAACCTTTACGACATTACCTTTTAGCGGAGGGCATCAATATCAGTAAAGATGATATGTGAATCAAATAGGCAAATGGATATTTTCTTTATGGGGCAAAAAGATATGAATTTGAAAACGAAAAAAAGCAGGATGAAAACTTTTATCCATCCGAAAAATCAATGTATTTTGATTCAAGGAGCTCTGTCGAAGGGTTTTGTGTCATTATAGCAAATGTCCCAAACGGCTTCCATGGCATCCTTAGATGCTTCTTCCGAGCAGTACGGATTTGCGGTCACTGATTTCATTACTCTTCGCTTCACACAATCCTTCACCATAAGATTACACACACATCTTTCAGGCATCAACTTAACAACAAAGGATTAAACTTGCATGCCCATTAAAAAAAAAAGAAAAAAAAAGACGCGACGAATAGAAAAATGAACATGATTTTGGTAATGAGTCCTTTCGAAAAAGAATGATATAACCCCAGAATTAAGCATGAAAATCTTGCAACTTGACCTTATGAAATAGACAAGACTTTAAGATTACCTACTCGTTTTGCAAACATACAATTTTAAGCATATGCTGATGCAGGACCCTGTATTTAACGGGATCTAAAACATGAGATACAGAAACCCCATTTTCCAATTCCCGCGCATGCATACAAAGATGACAAATAGATGAAATATTAAAAATAGAAACATATCAAGACCATATACGTACCCACAATGTAATAGTTTCGTTGGCTGTTTCATGCTTTGTCTATTATTTCACTATTATGGTTAACAAGATTGATTGACCGCCACAATCTCCGAATAACAATTAGTACTCAATTTAAAGTTTGTTGTTTTACGACTACAACACCTCCCTAAAATGACGCTGATGGTTTTTCCAAATTAAAGTAATAAGGATGATTTAAATCAGTCCGTTTGATCACAACAAAAATGGCCCACCTTGTGAAACAAAATGGAAAACCACGACAACGAGAAATTATACGAGATAGAAACTCACTTGTTCGTGACCTCTCATCTTCATAAAACCGCGAAGCAACTCCCTTTTAAAATGACAATCACCACTTAGATGACCAGCTCGAATCTGATCCGTAAACAGTAGATTAGTAAGCCCGTGTCATATTTAAAAATAAATAAATAAATATTAAAGTGGTGCATGAAATCAAGAAATACATAATAGAAAATAATAGGTTTTGAAAGCAGAGTATAACCTCACTGCAAGCATGGTGCGCACAGTTAGACCAGTTCAAATTGGCGCCACGGCATTCGTCATACGCATGAATTAGCTCGTGAATCACCACTTGAGTTACCTCATCTTGAATTTGCAAGTGGTTACTACACACGATTATCTAAACCGATACACCACAAAAAAACAAAAAAATATATTAGGAACTATAAATGCTCGGTTTTTATCAAAGTCAAAATTCTTTCCTTTCCACAAACACACGTTAAAGACTGATTATCCAATACTTATTCGAGCTTGCAATTGAAAAGGAAAAGACTGATTTACCCCTTGGCCCTTGAGATATCCACCAGCAGTGGCACCCGTGCAATTAGTGGCCTTTATGAAATTGCTTGCAATACTGCAACCCGATTTCTCGAGCTGCTCCTTTAGAAATTTCACCGTGGGAGCTGTGGTATATATATCGA